AAGACGTTGATGACGTTGAGGTAAGGAAATGTCAAACCGATAAATTTGTTTTTTCTTTCCGTTTTTTTAGAATTTGGAGTATGGATCAATGATCAATCCTCCCATCCTTTCCGGTAATATCATTTATGCTGATTGATACTGCTTCATGGTTGAAAATTGCTAGTTAGGCATACACGTTTCTTGAATTCCCACATGGGTGGCTGGTGGCCTGAATGTAATGCTTGTAATTACTAGGCATGGTAGAATGTGATTAAGTGAGTGCCCATCCACAAGGTATGGGAATACAAGATTTGGTGCCGGACAATTTGGACTTACAACTATGATAGGTTAATTTGGAATAATAATTAAAAATTCTGAATATTAATTAGATTAATTATATGGTATCAAATACTAGTTATTGTGAAAAGAAAAAATCAAAACGTCTTGATATTAAAAATATCAAAATATTTAGTTATTGTTATTAAATATATAAGATATATTGTAAACTCTAATTTTGTCAAATTCAATGTATGATTATTATTAAACGTTTAACATTTCATCTTAATTTTTCCTTTTCCCTTAGTTCTTTATATAATTTATGAAAATTGTGCAGAAACTTACTACTAAAATTACATTATTTTAAAAAAAGTTTATGAAAAAAGATTAAAATATCTAAGTTTTTAAAATAGAAATGGGATGTTTTAGTATTTTTTTTTATCAAGTTTTATTAAAACAATATAATTTTAAGGTTTTTTTCATTTATTATTTTTCAGGTGCTACTACTTAACACTAATCTCATTTTATATTTTGAACAATAAATACATAATCTAAAATTCCATTTAAAAAAAAATTGGAAATTGTTTTCTATTGAAATAAAAAGAAGTCTCATCTTTTAAAATTTTTTTTGCGTATTAAACCTTATTATATTCAAAAGTCATATCAAAACTCAACTAATTTAAAGTCGAATAAAATTAGAATCCATAAAAAGGAGGTCATTTCAAGGCCTATATCTTTGTTTATAAGATTTGAATTCAAGATTTTATTTAAAAAAAATTAAAATCTATCTACTCAAATTGACATGTCATTGATATATAATTTTCTCTTATTTTATACTCTTTTGTTTAACTTTAATAGGCCAAGATTATTTTTTCAATAAAATAGGGACGTATTAGTCGATTAGTAAAATTTTATATTTAATAATATATATTATAATTAACTTTTTAAAATATAAATAAAATATAAATAAGCAACATCTCAAATTAAAATTAAGTTTAAAAAAAAAAAAACCATTTGAGATATTATTCCGGACAAATATTTTGTCCGAAAACACACACGGACACACTCTCACTGGTATTTTTGTTTACTCCCTAGCATATATAAATAAATGAAAAAATAAATGAAAAAATTTGTCGGTCCACTCAAATATTTTAATGGTGGACCTCTCTCCCATAAAGGAGGGTTAAGCAGTGTAAATCCACGGAGTTTTTTCTTCTAATATTTATAACCAAGTTGTTTATATATTAATTTTATTTTTTATAATAAAATAAAGTTTTTACTTTAAAGTATGATATTTTATCAAATTAAAATTAAATTTAAGATTTAAAAATGTCTCTTATTAAATAATAATATTTAAATTTAAAAACTGATTAAATTAAAATATATAATATATATATATATATATATATATATATATATATATATATAACAATGATGGATACAGGATGATATTGATTTGAGAAGTAGGACACAAAATTATAATTGTCATTACTTTGTAGATAAATATCATGTGGTGTGTTTATATTTCTTCTTCAACGGTCATCATGTATATCTATGTCATTTTAGACATTGATCATGCATGTTAAATTTCAAAACACTTATGTTCTAAATAGAAGTATAGAACCACTCAACTGCCATCGTTATGACTGCATGTATTTGTTAAGTCCTCACAAAAGTATTAAAAGCGTGTTTGATAATTAAATGTTAAATGTAGTTAATATCTGTAGTTGAGTTTTGTATTTTGCAATTTAAATTGAATTGAATTGTTTTGTAGTTTGAATTATAAGGACCATTGTATCAAGAGATTACCCTAATATCAATGAGTCCAATCTCTATCCAATAACTAATGTTTTGTAGTCTAATATATATAGTTCAAAGTCACCAACATTTTTTCCTTTGTAATTATTAAGTAATTGATGGCTTATAAAATAAGTAATATATTTAGTATTGTTTAACAATTTAAAATTTATATATCTATAAGTTGATATTTTTAAACACTACTATAATTAATTATAAATTAATAAAATCAATAAAATTAGCTAAATTTACAGTATATTTTGCATAGCTTTAACAAATATTTGTTTGCCATAACCATGCCCCACCCAGCTGCTCCTACCATTCTTCTGTTTATTTTCTTGCTCTGTATATGACATGCTTGGTCAATGGAAAATAGTAGAAGGAAAGGAAGACAAAAATGTTCAATTTTATCCTTTTATGAGTTTCCATAAACATACAGGTATTGTTCAGTAAATTTTCACTTATCCCTTTTTCAGTTTTAATAAACAAAATGGTATTGTTCACATTAAATTGTATAAGTTAAATTATTATATAAGATAAATTCTTAATATTGGGAATTATCTCTCAATCTAATGGTTCATGTTAGGAAACTCTTCAATAAATTAGAGAGAAGAGCTTTATTCAAGCAGATTTGTAGGAAAAGAGTTAAAAAACACTTATAAAATTATTTAAATAATATTGCATATTAACTAATTATTCAGACGTAGTGATTCAATAATGATGTTTAAGTCTTTTCGGTACTTTTTTTTTTTTTTTCTGAAGTTTTAAATGAAATTGCATTGAAGGATAATTCCTGATAAATCTTTTGCATTTTTGGGTTTTGTCATTGACTTGTTTCCAACGAATTTCATTATGCGGCGAAAATAAAAAGTTTTGACTTAATCAACCAAAGAGACTAAAAGAGTACCGTATCAGAAAAGTACATACCATACATAGAACATGAAGAAAGAAAACACACTACAAATCCATCATCATGCATGCATGGGTTGGGCTACATGGACTCAACCCAGTTGCAACCAACAAGTCTCAGGCTACATGGTTCATACACGAAACGAAGGATATTGCCAGCTTTTATTTTTACAATAAACTAAGTTAAGGCTTGGCATATATTAAAGAGAGGCATATGCATGCATGCACTTAATTAGTTGCCGTGTGGAGGCTTGTGTGGTGGGAAAGATGGTTTCAACTTGCGTGGTGGCTTCTGTGAGTCCTCCTCAACTTCCTCTGCTAGCATGTGTCCAGGGTGGTGTGGGGGCTTCTTCTCTCCCTTGCCCCTTGGTGGCTTTCCATATGGGTGTTCGTGTGAGTCTTCCTCTACTTCCTCTGCAAGCATGTGTCCGTGGTGTGGAGGCTTCTCTCCCTTGCCCTTTGGTGGTTTGCCAAATGGGTGTTTGTGTGAGTCTTCTTCCTCAACTTCCTCGGCCAGCATGTGTCCTGGGTGGTGTGGGGGTTTTTCTCCCTTGCCCTTTGGTGGCTTTCCAAATGGGTGTTTGTGTGAGTCCTCCTCCTCTACTCCCTCTGCGAGCATGTGTCCGTGGTGCGGAGGCTTCTCTCCCTTACCCTTTGGTGGTTTGCCAAATGGGTGCTTGTGTGAGTCCTCCTCATCCTCGAATTCCTCTGCTAACATGTGTCCTGGATGGTGGGGAGGCTTCTCTCCCTTTCCCTTTGGTGGTTTGCCAAATGGGTGTTTATGTTCATCCTCCTCCTCAACTTCCTCTGCGAGCATGTGTCCAGGGTGGTGTGGAGGCTTCTTCTCTCCCTTGCCCTTTGGTGGCTTACCAAATGGATGTTTGTGAGAATCCTCGTCCACTTCTTCTGCAAGCATGTGTCCAGGGTGGTGCTCATGAGGCGGCTTGTGCTCGTGTTCAGGCTTCTCTCCCTTGCCCTTTGATGGCTCATGCTTGTACAAATCCTCAGCAACATTTACATTTTCCTCTGACAACAAGCGCCTGTGGGGAGGCTTGTGCTCATGGGGTGGCTCCTCTCCCTTACCTTTAGGCGGCTCGTGTTCTGGGAATGGCTTGTGATCGTCGTTGTCTTGTGGTGTTGGAGGCTTGTGTTTAGGAGGTGGCTTAGGCTTGCCATCCTCCACTGCAGCAGCCAACTTCCTTTCAGCAGAAGGAGGCTTATGAATGGGAGGCTTATGTTCCTTTTTGGGAGGCTCATGGTGATCGGCAAAGGAGGCCGGAGTGGTGAGAAGAACCACCACTCCGAGGAACAACACTAGCAAGTAAGCTTTAGAACTCATCCCTGTGGGCCTGAAGGTTTTGTGTTTCGATGCTGGAAATGGAAGACTTAAGAGTCCTTTTATAGTTGTCCAGAGGAAGCTACGATGTCATCACTGATGTCATGGGTCATTTGTTCTCTTGTACACATTTGCTTTTGATTTCGATGTCTACCTCCCCAAATTTCGGCCTCATGGAAAACTACCATCATAAGTCATAACTGCGGTCCCATTTTTCCAGCGGAAAAGTTTGACTATTTGCTCATTCACATTTGCTTTATTTTTGGGTTTCTTTAGGCCTACTGCTTCATTTTGGGGAAGGCAGGCCATTACTTTTTTTTTTTTTTTTTTGACTAGATAAATGGTTAAAAAGTTAATAAAGTTAGTTTGTTAACAATTAAAATTTTTTCAGGAAAGTAAATCTTCCACCCCTCATTTTGGTAACACCCCTCATTTTGGTAAAGGCAGGCCATTACAGACCCTATAAAATTTAGACAAAAGATTCATCATGTGTTGTAGCTACATTTTTTTAATTTGTTTCGCATCACGGTATTGTAGCTGCACATTGAAGTTGCCGTGTGGGATTACTTCCTCAATAGTAATGTTAATTTGATCTTTTAATTTTTAAAATAAAAAATTTAAGTGAAAATTTAATGAGGATAAGGGAGGTGAGGAGAGGAAAGGGAGAAAATTTTTTATGGGTTTATTTATATAAGTAATAATTGTATAATTATTATTATTTTTATTTTAAAAATAATAATGTTAATTATTGTCAATAACTTAAATAACTCAGTGATTATCTCTTTTTATTAAAAAAAAGAACTTTGAGTTGAAGTCCCATAACATACAGATAAGAAATAATAAGATATAAAAAATAATTACCTTTTATTATGTCAAGATGAAAATGTATATATGATAATAATAATGTTAACTATTATTTTAATTATAAATGCTACTTGTCAATTTCTTATTTGTTTGTTTTAAAATTAAAATTAGAACTTATTTTTTCAATTTAAAATTTTAGATCTTTTAAAATAATTATTGATTAATAATTAATTTTTATCTTGTATTTTTAAAGTATAAAATAAATAAATTTATTTTTTATTTAAAAGAATTAAAAAAGTGAGGAGGGAAGGCCGTTACTTTTCAGTACTTTAATTTTTTTTATATTTTAATCTAATTAAATGGAGGGAGAGAAATAAAAAGATCCCTTGTCCTCACTTTTATTATTATTTTTTTAACAATTTACAATTGAAGATTGAGGAAGCAGAATTTTTTAATATATAGGTAGAACTCGAAAGCCTCACTAAATGCATTAAGGTTTAGTAATGAACCAGTTGAAACTGAAGATCTGATTTTTCCCTTTTATTTCTTTTAAGCTAAACAAAGACTTTAAGTTTTATTCTTGCCTAAGACAATAAATTTCTCCTTTATTTAGATATAGGGTTATTTTGATGTTCATAAATTATTTATATTTTTAAACTAGTTTTTCTCCAGCATAACGACAAAGTTTTTCTCAACTTTCTTAAACTGATTCTACAATTCACACCTACCCCAGAGAAAGTAAACTTGTAATCATCGCGATAACAATACAGTTATAAAAGTTCATGGTAATTGAGATACTTTAGTCAAAGATTTGGTTTAAAATTTTTTAATTAAAAATAAAATATTTTTTCTTTACTAATTAAAACTATTATTTCTTTTTAAAAGTTTTTAATTAAAAAAATGGTCATACACATTTATTTAATTTTTTATTTAAAAATTACAAAAATTTTATTAATAATCTAAATAATTTAGTAGTTATTTTTTTTAGTAGAAATATAAGATATTGAATTTCAATTGCATAGTATATAAGTAAAACAAATTAAAAGATAAAAAAAATTACTTTTTATAATATAATTTAAGATAAAAAAATACAAAAATTTTGTGTGCCAAAAACAAAATTACAGAGATTATATCATTAATTAGAAATTTTAAACTTGTGGTAGCCTTAACCAAAGAAATTATATTTTAATTTTTTTTTTAAATTACGTTCCTAATTATACCGAATTTCTTACACCGAAAGTCTTGTTCCTTTTTCGAAGGGAAAAAGTAGAAAAGAAGGTATTAGTAGTGAATAATTTGGATTTTCTCCTTTACCCATATGCTCTCCTTGCTTTCTACCGCTTCAAAATCAAAATATCAAAAAGATTAGGGAATTGGGCCCCACTTCAAATGATTTTTATTACATTTTTGCCTCAAATGATATATAGGTACAATAGTATATGATATAGTAAATTTATAATTATAATATGTTATTTTATGAGAATAATACCTTTTTTTTTAAATTATCTTAAAATATATCATTTCAATAAATTTTTATCAAAAAAACTAAAATGCTCTATTTTAAAGATTCAATTAAAATATTTTTTTATCATTTCTTATAATGTTTTATCGAAACGATATAATTTTAAATTAATTTTTTTTTTAATTTTTAAAAAATAAAGCAG